GTGAACTCAGTTAATTGCCTTTCTATTGTCTCTAGTGAATTTGCAATAGCAATAATTGCGTTAAGAGAAGTTTAATCTCCCTTGGCCAAAATCTTCTTCCTTAAATCAACCGACAAGCATTTCTCGGTAATCTGGTCTATGAGCTGCTCGTCCAAATTCGTGAATTGGCATTTCGAAGCCTGTAGGCGCAGCCTTACCAAAAATTTTTCGAACTTCTCCCCATTTTCTTGCTTAAGTAATCTAAATAGATGCCTTTCGTATACTTTGCTTTGCTTGGGTGCAAAGTACTCGTCCAACTTTTGAATAGCGATTTCATAACTATCATTTGCATTTTCTGACTCCTCTACATTTGCGCCAGGTAAATAATAAAACACTTCTTGCAGTGAAAGACCTCCAAAATGTAAAAGTATAGCTCTTTTCTTTAGGGGATCTTCAATACTTGCTGCATCTAGATATATTTTCAAAGCCCTTTTCCATTTTTGCCAACGCAATCCTACCGAACTGACATCCCCATCACAATCAAAATTTTCCAATGATGGAATATTCATTTTCCTAAAATGAAACCTATCCTTGTATTTGAACAGTATACATTTGACCGTAATTGTACTTGGTCACGTAACGCAAAAATCACCCGGTGACTAATAGCGAAATCAGAAATAAATTAATCATGTTTTTCCTAGTGTTAACTTGTGATGTAACTAGCTAAATTTATTCATTTTAATGCCCTTTTTCTTCTAGAAAGACCGGCAAATTTCGTTTTCTATTGCCCTTTTCCGTCTTGGAAGACCGGCGTACTTCATTTACTAGTGCCCTTTTCCGTCTTGGAAGACCGGCATATTTTATTTATTACTACTTATTTTCAATACGATTAACAATTATTATATAAATGTGATTCATATTCTACATACATGTTTTAAAATTATAAATTAACTGTTTTTTTGGGTACCGTAAACACGGGTGGCAGGAAAATCAGTGTTTTAAAAAAATAAATAGTATTTATTACACTTTAAAATTGTATATATTGCATCAGTGCAAAACTCTTAGAAATACACGCGTTACAATTTCTATATTATGGGCAATCCTTTGGAATGATGATCCTTGGTTAACTACAGGTCGATTTTTTATTTTTTTTTCGGTAATCCCTTGCAATGGCTATATGTTGCTGCTAAAATGTGTCTAATAAAAATGAAATAAAATACTGAGTTAATTTTATACGGAAAATAAACTGTGAGACAAAGTTATCCGCAACCAGGGGGTAACTTTGCACACCCAGTTTTTAATTTTTATTTTTGAAACTCAGCCCTACGTAATATTATAACATAGTAATTATGAAAAAGCAACGCAAGACTCAAATTTTGGTTTACAATATTTAATGTTTATGATTGTTAAAACCACAAAAATTTTAAGCTTAAGTTTGAATGTGAGCTAAAGCCACCCGTGTTTACGGTACCTGTTGTTATTAGGTATTATATAACATACTATAATGATTAAAGTTGTGGAGCTGGTGGCAATTTCGGTATATGATTTGCTCGTCGGTGGGAATGATATGTTATAGAGTTTTGATGCTTGTGAACTGAGTAAATAAGGTGGCAGGCTCAGGTATCGCTGCTTTTTTTTAAGTAATTTTTAAAATTGTAAAAAATAAAACCTAACCTAAGTCATTTGCTCGTGTCTGGCATTTAGGTTTTATATTATATTGACCATATTGATACTAAAATAACATTTTCCAGACGTCTATGACGCTGCGTTTTTTTTTTAATAATTTTAAATATGTAAAAAACAAATGCTCTATTAAGTGATTTGCTCGAGTTTTGAGTTCTTAATTTGTTAAATTAAAACAGTTGAACTTTTTAATTAATTTATTTTTAACAATGGATTCACAACAACAATAAAAAGAGAAGTGCCGTTATAATGTGTAGTACCGTGCGAGGTAAGCTTGGTTGCCTAGTCAGCAGACGTAACTCCTTCCTCCTTAGCTCGAAGAGCGGATTCCAAATCCTTGAGGGTAGGTCTCTGGAGAAACAGAAGATGACTAAGGCGTTTTTTTTCAGATTAATACTACTCCAACAATTATAGTTAGTATTGCAATAATTATTGTTATAACCCAAAATGTGTAATGGATTTCCTTTTGCAAGTGGATGTCCTCTAATGGCTTCAAATCCAGTTCTGGAGGGATATGAATTTCGTTTAGTTCGGCTGTTCGGGTGGCAATTAGGGTGATGGGTATGGTATCCTAAGCGATACTTTAGTGCTGTTGATGGAGTATCTTTCTTCATCGATGGTTACGTCACAGGGGCTTGCGTAAGCCAAAGGGCATGCGAACGTATTCGTAGTGTCCTTGGTTGACAGTAAAGGCGGTTTGTTGATTTATTGATTTGTCTGACATTTTTATCTGATGAAATCCTTGGGCAAGATCAAGGCATGTAAAATATTTACAACGTCCTAGATTTTCTAAGATTTCATCGACTCTGGGACGCGGGTATTTGCCTTCAATTGTGTTCTCATTTAATTTTAAATCACCATTCTAAATTTTTTGACACCTGAGGCATCTGGTTTTTTTGGTACAATCCACACAGGGGCACTATATGGACTGGTTGAAGGACAAATAATTTTTTGGTCTAAAAGTTTCCGAATTTGTTTAGAGATCTCAGAACGCATAAGCGGAGGGTGCCTAAACGAACGAGTAAAAATTGGGTTTTCATCTTTTGTCGCTATATGATGGATAGTAGTGACTGAAAATGACAGGGGTGTCGATTCGTTATAAAAAATATTTTTATATCGCTGACAAAGATTAATAATTGCTGTTGTTTCTTCGGAATTTAGATGGGAAAGACGTAAATTTTTGACATCTAAGTCGTTATTGTAAATCGGAAAACTCGTTTCTATGTTAAATAAGTTCAAGGGGTAAGCGGAAATTTGTTTAGGGGCATTTTCTGTATATGGAATTGTTATAAATATGTCTTTGACTAAATGAATAGAAGAGGGTAAAATTTCTTGATTGTGAATCGAAACGTTGGGGACGAAAACATCGCCATCGGGACAATTAACTGCAATTTTAGTATGTTCCGGAGAAAAATAACGGAATTTTATTGAAATATTATTAATATTTAAAGTGTGTGTTCGATAATCAATTTTTGCGTACAAATTTTGAAGATCGCTTGAACCAATTAGCGCATCAAATCTGTCATGCCAAGGAATTTGGAATAAAATTGTCGAGTTTATTGGCTGTTATAAATGATTTTGGTGGTCCGCGAATTTTGCTTAAAACATAGAGGTTAAATAAATGCAATTGAATGTTTGAGCACATTGCAAAAGTGCCTTGAAAAAGATCTATAATTTTGTTCACAGAAATTATGAAATCGCAGAGAGATGCTTCACCATCGCCATAAATAGGTATTACTTTACAAAATTGTTCAAGTTGCTTATCAGTTATTTTAGGAATTTCTGGATATGTCATATTTACTTTGTTGATTTTAACTTGGGGATTAGTTATAGTAGTATTTTCTAATAATATATTAAGTTATTCTATTTCTGGATCACTTAATTCCGAAACCGAAATTTTGTTTAGATTTGTTGGCATAAAAATTAATAAAGGCAAAAAATAATACTTAAAATAAAGGAAAATAAATTAGGAAATAATAAAAGGGATGCAAAAGGAACTACTGAACGACTTACTTGATTAATTTTAATGCGTTGTTCATCTCCAATTGGCTCGGGGGACGAAAGGACGAAATTCAGGAGATTTCGAAGTTGTCCAATGAATCTTCAATGGGTCCTTTGGCAGGTTGAAGACGGGTGACTTTCTTCTTTGATGTTGATGAGTCCGGTTTTACCATAAATTGTAGAAATAAACCAAAAGTTCTAATGATTTTTGTTGATGAGAATCCTGTTTTACAGCGCCAGTTTTGAGTTCTTAATTTGTTAAATTAAAACAGTTGAACTTTTTAATTAATTTATTTTTAACAATGTATTCACAACAACAATTAAAAGAGAAGTGCCGGTATAATGTGTAGTTCCGTGCGAGGTAAGCTTGGTTGCCTAGTCAGCAGACGTAACTCTCGTCTTTATCTTATTTTTTTTAATTGTTCATTTGTGCCCCCTAAATAAAAAAAAAATAATGCCACATATGTATGTCTCTGCTTTTTGCAGCAAATAATTTTTAAAATTATAAAAAATAATACCTAGCCTAAGTCATTTTCCTCGTGTCTGCCATTTAGGTTTTATGTTAAATTGGCTATATAGATACTAAAAAAAACATTTTGAGGAGTATAGGAAAAAACGTGCAAAGTCAAAAAACTTAAATTTTTAGAAGAGCAATTTTAAACTTGAATACTGTGTAATCTCTGGGTAGTTTTAAAAAACTAACTGCTTTTAGGAACTCTATTAAAACAACATTATGGTAAACAGTAATGTTAAGTGTAAAAAAAATAATACCATTATCTTTGCTTTTTTAGCTACCATACCAAAAAATATCCAAATTGACTTTGCACGTTTTTTCCTTGTAGTCTTTAATTGTTAATTTTTGTCCCATAAATAAGAAAAAAATTATGCCAGTAATGTAGGTATGTATGCTTTTTGCAGAAAAATATTTTAAATTGCTCATTTTTGTCCCCTTAAATTAACATAGATACTAAAAAAAACATTTTCCAGACCTATGACGCTGCGTTTTTCTTTAATAATTGTTGATTTGTAAAAAACAAATGCCCGTCTTTGTCTTATTTTTTTATAATTTATTTTTGTACCCTTAGCAAGAAAAAAATAATATTAGACACGAATGTCTACTTTTTGCAAAAATAATTTTTAAAATTGTAAAAATAATTCCTAGCCTAAATACCTAATGTGCTCTTGTCTGCCATTTAGATTTTATGTTAAATTGACTATAGAAACAAATTTGTCAGATATCTAGGTTACTGCGTTTTTAGTAATTAAAATACAAAAATTAAATATTTTTAATTTTAAGTACTTAGGTACAAAAAACAAAAAGAAAAAAATTAAATATTCTAATTATTTTCTGAATCAGTGTCATCAGACACACTATCTTCAGATTCAAGTTCAGATTCTTCGTCCATAATATCACTCTCATCCCCTGAAATAAATGGTACATTAAATTTTTTTTAATAATAATTAAATTAAATGAAAAACTTCCTGTTTGCTCATCTAGTCGTAATTCTTGTAGAAAATCATTGTACGATAGAGGTACTTGGTCTCCTTCAAACCATTTAAAGTTTAATTTTTCTTCATCTTGAAGCCATCCATAATCGGTAACTTCTAAATTTTCCAACGGATCTTTTAGGTCACAATTTTTCCATAATTTTGTAATATACAATGTTCTTAGCAAATGTTGTTTAAGTTCCGTTTGACATGGAGGTAACAATGAAGCATCAAAGTTATTTATACAATATTTAAATGATTGGTTCAAACTTTTGACGTTATATGCTTTTAAAAATAAGTCAAAACGCCCATCATTGACACTATTTTCTTTTTTAAGATTATAAATTCGACAAACAAATTCTTCCAAAGTATTAAAAGTTGTGGTACTATTATTAAAATCATTTTTATTTAAATTAGAAAATGCTTCTTGGTATCTATTAGAACTAATTAATATTGCGAAGGTTCTTTTCTTACCTTTTCTAAAAAACGAGGAGTTATAATCACAGCCCGTTAAGGCATGAAAGCCAGGTTATGAATTGCAAAGGTCCTAAAGTTTTATTCATTTTGGAAACATCAATAAAACGACGTGAATTTCCGGTTCCAAAATAAAGCCAAATTTTAAGTGAACTCTTTAAAGCCTCCATTTTCCCAAGCATGATTATTAAAATGTCAGTGTCACAGCAACGAATAACAACATTTGAATCTTTCGAAATATTGCATACATGGAAAATAATTTTTGTGTCAGCTTCTTCGTGGCCATAACAAGAGATTATCATTTATTGTTTGAATGACTTGGTCATTTACTACTTTAAATTCATAACAAAAGTCGTAATTAACGTTGATTAATTTATCACGAATTAATTTTACCATATCAGGATTGGTCCAATGTTTTATGAAAAAACTTTACCAGCGCTTCCTTAAATTTTATATTTTTCATTTCTTTTGATAAATCTGACGGCCTTATTTGTTGTGGAGCAGAAATACAAAAAATACGTTCAGTCATTCCTCGATGATTTCTTTCTATATCTTTTATTGATGGCACAAAATATCTTTCAAAAACAATATCAACTCTTTTGCACTTAATATTGCACAAGTAAGTTAAAACTTTTGTATAGAAATCGCCAAAAGTGCGAGGTACTTCTTTCAATGAATTTATTTTAAAAAATCCGTCCACTATACAAACATCAAAGTCTAAAGGGTCTTCTGATGTTACTTGTGCTTCTAAAAGATTCAATAAAGTAGATTTCTCGGTTTTGCAAATTGAGCGAGTGAAAATGGTAACGGAGTTAGTGGAAAACATAACACCTTGTGAATATCAATATTATGACTAATTGATAAAGCTAGTAGTTGGCCAAAGAGGTCGCGTTGGAGACGAACCTCTTTAACTTTTCCTGAAACAGCAATACTTTGTCTTTTTTTGACTTTGACAAAAGTATAAACTGATTGTTTTTTAATCAGTAAAGTATACCTCTCAGGGTTCTCAATGCATTCAGCGATAAATTTTTTACCTGCGACATTTCCATTATGCTCGATATTTAGAAGAAATTCTGTAATTTGTGATGAAGCAGCTTCTCCAGTTGTAATATTAAATAATTTGTCTTTATCAAGAGTAAAATCGAAAGGATTAATGTATACTTTTAATTTTTTACTTAAATTAGCTACATTGCTACAATTTTTCTGGCCCATCTTTGGCGTGCCGAGATCGAATTTGTCATACTCCTTATGCTTCTAGCAGCATCTGCATTGATGGTCTACTCTAAAGTTAAATCAATAGGAATTCTGTTCTAAGAACGTTTTGTTCTTCTTACGCCAATAGCACCACTTTTAAATCTTCAATTAACCCAGGGTGTGTATTATTTATATTTAGCAGTTTATTATGATATAAGACCATCGCACCAGAGTAATGTGGTAGTTAAATTTTTTCTGACCTAGGTCAATTGGGGTAAAAGTAAACGCGAGGTAAATGTAAACAGGCTAATAATTTTTGAATTTGGCGGGTTATAGGTTTCCAGCCTATGCCACTAGAGGCGCGCATACGTCCTTATTAGTCTCATGTACACAGTGTTACCTGTTGCTTCCAAATTTTTTCGAACACTTTATTATTTCCGATAGCTGCTAATTATTTTAAAAATTGAATTTTCTACAGAGTGAAAATTTGGTGTTTAACAAAATTCTTTACAGGTAAGTCGATTTTTCTTTCACGATGTTATTGTTAAGAATATAGAGACCAAAACGGTTTATGCTGGAGTTTAAGGTTATATTCTACATAGATATAGGAACTTGTTTACATTTCCCCCGAGATTTTTTATGGAAGAGGCAAATGTAAACAATATTTTGGGGAAATTGTAAACAAGTTTTTGGGGAAATTGTAAACGCGAATATATACTCATATTTTTATGTTATTTCCAGCTGATTCATTTTCATTCGGGATTCTGCGTACAAATTTGTTCACAATGGTACGAAATTACATCAGGAAGAGGCCTCTTCTTGAAAGATATTCCGAAGCTGACATAGTAAACGCAGTGAATGATGTAATAAACCGCAACAAAACCTATAGGGAAGCTGAGGTTGCTTACAATGTTCCAATTTCAGTGATTTTTAATAGAATTAAGGGCAGAAAAAATCAGTTGAAAATCACAAATAAAGGTCGTCATTCAGTACTATCTGAAGACGTAGAACTAGCTATAGAAAAATGTCTAAGAGCTCGTTCTCGCATGGGTTGGCCTTGCGACCAAAAAGAATTGTGCAACCTAGTTGGGCAATATGTACAATCCAAGGGACTTAAAACTCCTTTTAAAAATGACGTACCTGGCTATGACTGGTTTTATGAAACGTCACCCGACTCTATCATTTAAGAAGCCAGAACATCTGCAAAAAATCAGAAAAGACGCCAGGGATCCCTTTGTTGTTTATGACTTTTACGAAAAATTACAAAAACTAGTTTATGATAAAGGGCTTATTGGCGATAGCAAAGAATGCTTTATTTTTAATGCGGACGAATCTGGTTTCAACAGTGATCCTTCGAGAGTTCGTGCCATAGGCGAAAAGGGAGTAGCATTGTCTAGGGTGTCAGGTGGATCAGGCAGGGAATCTACAACTGTACTAGCATGTGTTTCCGCAGATGGATCTTTTCTACTCCCCTTTATTGTATATAAAGGAGCCGCGGTCCAGGCGCGTTGGACTTCAGAAAACGCCTACCCTGAAACATTATATGGAGCATCTAAAAACGGGTGGATGGAAGAGCCCCACTTCTATCATTGGTTTATAACGTTATTCATACCACATGTGAATAGACTGAGACAAAAATATGGTATGGCCGACCAGACGGCTCTTTTATTATTTGATGGCCACAGCAGCCACGCTAGCGTTCAAATAGTAGAAGCTGCACTTCAACACAACATAGAATTATTTAGGTTTCCTAGTCATCTAACAGATAGGATACAACCGCTGGATAAGTGCGTCTTCGGTCCAATGAAAACTAAATGGGATAGAATCTTAGTTGCTCATGGAAAATCTGAAATGGGAAAAGTTATTGAAGGAAGCCTGGGAACAAGGTATGATCTCCAAAAACATAATTGCGGGTTTTGAAACGACTGGCATTTTTCCAGTGAATTCTAAGAAATTCTCCGAGACATATTTTGATCCTGCTTTTTTGCTTAAATATAAACAAAGTAAAAGTGCTTTAATTATCCAAGGCCAGCAACAGGAGGGGGCTCTTGAGCCAGTATTTAGGTCTTCCTTGATGTTGAATGACCACAACTTACTGCAATCATCAACTGGATCCTCGTTGATGCAAAATGATTGTAACTTACTGGAGCCACCAGATGGATCTTCGTTAATGCCAAATGACCACAGCATAGAAGGGTCATCAACTGGTTTCTCATTGATGTCTAATAACGATAGCCTACCTAAACTATCAGCTACACCTTCATTGAACACAAGTGACCAAATCTTACCTGTTCCAATTTAGAATTCTAAAGACATTTCTCCCAATAGTATTATTTCCCTATTCTCTAGAAATCTGAAAGAAAATATTGAAAAAACCCCGACTTCTAACGGTACTGAACCTAGAAAAGTGATTCCTCGCTTAAAACAATCCACTTATGGAGAGGTTCTCACAACTAAAGAGATTTTGAAAAGACTTGAAGAAGCTGAAGAGAAAAAGAAAGCTAAGCAGAGTAAGGAGAAAAAAGGCAAACGTTCCAAGAGTAATAAGGTCGACGTTCCCAAGCAGAATATAACTAAAAAGAAAAAGAAACGGGGACCAACAAAGTGGACCAATACATTTGAGAGTGAGAGTGAGTGCGTCGAAGATAATATAACTGATTTAGTAAACGACAACTCAGATGATGACATGTTCCCTCTTGCGACATTTGTGGAACCAATGTTTGTAGACTATCATGAAGTTAAATGGAAAGATATCAAAAGAGACAGCTTCCTTTTGGTCAAATTTATTGGAGGAGCCCGAAAAACAACTACCTACAAATACGTCTGCGTAGTTAAAGAAAAATACGAAGAAGATGGCGAAATTATTGTTGTGGGATTGCGAGCACTGGACGAGAACTGCTGCAATTTTTTCATAAAGGAGATTGACCAATCCTATATTAAAATGGAGATGGTGGAAGCTATTCTTCCAAACCCTGTGGAAAATATCAAAAAACGCAAAATTATATATTCATTCCCAGGAAAAGTTGATGTTTATGAAAAACCATAAGTTGCTTTTACTTTCATCTGTAGGTATTTTATTTTTATATAAATATTACGCCTAAGCTTTAAGTCAAATAAAGAACTATTAATAAATTTAAAAACATTTCTTCGTTTATACCTGACCTTAAAAGTCCATTAGCTTCAGCAGAAAACAATTTATTTGTTTACCCCCGAAAATTGGGGTAATCGTAAACATCAAAATATTGGCATAAACTAAAGAGTATTTGTACTGGTATTGCCGGTTGTTCGCTAATACCCCACTTAAACACCCGTATGTATAAATGGAAAATAATTACTCGTTTACATTTACCCCAAAAATTAAATTAAAATTTAGTTTGTCCGGGGAAATGTAAACACTCAATTTTTTTTTCCTATGCAACCTTTTGGGGTTATTCTAAGTATTTAGATTCAATATACACTACAAAATATCCATATTTAAGAAAAACCTTCTACATGTTAAACTTTTTTTTTGTAGCCCGTTAAACTTGACTTTATCAAAATCGTTTACATTTCCCCATGTTAACCTATAATTTTTATGGTTTTATTCAAGGCGTTTTGTAATTTTAAACATTTCTGTGAAATCGGAATTTCAATTGAGTTTACCGTTTTCGAGATATTTACAAAAAAAAATCTCCTAATTACGTCACTAGGCTATTGACAACGTTGCCAGCTTTTTCTATGGTTGCCAGTGTGTTTAGTTTAAGATTCTTACAATAGATGGCGCCACGTTATAATATTTTAGTTTTAAAACCAGTTGAGAAGAAGAAGAAGAATTGATTTTTTGACGATTCTTTTTTTCGGGTTATGTTTTTTTTAAATTTAGATTATTGAAAATCAATGTTATTGTTATGTTATTTGTAATTGATATTAGATAAGTGATTTATTAATAACGGACTCCAAAGCAGAGGAATCTTGTGGAATGGTTTGTTACATTGAACATTGGAGCTTTTAAACAAATAAAATAAGTAGCTATAATTATACACTGAAAGAAATGAGCTAACAAAACCCTTTAACAAATACTTGTTTAATTGTTATAATAATACATATGATTGTAACAATCATACATTTATATACTATTATAACAATGTTATCACTGTCATTGTTAAACACGGATTCTTAAAACGTTTTTATTGTGGTTATTGTGTTAAATACCTAAACCAATTAAAGGATTATTAGGACAATTACATTGATTAAATATGGTTATTAAATTGTTTTATTACTATTTTTATTATTACCATTATTAAACCGTTTATATGCAAATATTAATGATTATTAAATACTTTAATTACTATTATTAAAATATTTTAAGAACGATCATTTTCGCGTTGGTTTCGCTGTACTTTTGGCAAACGACCCAACGTGAGAGCGAGGAGTGGTCGATGGTGTTAAATGCTAATAGAAACTTTTTATAGTGCAATGGAAATGGAGAGAATTCAGTGCTTTAAAAAAAAAATAGGTTTGGAGGCTTATTATTATTTTAATAAACATTCTTATTTATTTTAATAAACATTTTGTTGTTTTGTTAAATACTTTTAAATGGTTTTAAAACCATGAAGTTCTTATTTATTTTAATAAACATTTTTGATCTCATACAGTGTTTTACTATTTTATATACATATATACACACATTTTTATTAAGATTTTTATTATTATTATTTTATTATTTTTTTAGGGGGGTTGGTTAAAATAAATTAAAAAAAATCATACAGGACAAGTTAGCTCTAAATATTAATTATAACCTAGCCCCAACACCAGTTTAAGTTTTCAATAAAAAAATGCATGTATTTTTAAAATCAAACTGAAAATTTATAACTTTATATAAAAAAAATACATGCATTTTTTCATTAAAAGGTTTGACTGCGATGGTGGCCAGGTTAAAATTAATATTGAGAGCTGAAACTTGGCATAATTTTTTTTATTTATATTTAAGCGATTAGAACCACCCCAAAAAAAAATCAAAAAAATAGTAGTTTAAATTT